CTATAGTCTGCTGTATGGATTACATCTCAACATAAAGAAAAAAAAAAATCCTCACAACTGGACCAATAAGCAACATCATGATAAATGGAGAAAAGGTTGAAGTTGTCAAATATTTCATATTACTTGGTTCCACAATCAACACCAATGGAAGCAGCAGTCAAGACATCAGATGACATATTGGACTGGGCAAATCTGCTGCAAAAGAACTCTTTCAAGTGCTGAAGAGCAAAGATGTCTCTTTGAAGACTAAGATGCCTAACCCAAGTCATGATATTTTCAGTCACCTCATATGCATGTGAAAACTGAACAATGAATGAGGAAGACTGAAGAAGAGTTGATGCTTTTGAGTTGTGGTGTTGGTGAAGAACACTGCAAATACTGTGGACTGCTAAAAGAACTAACAAATCTGTACTGTCCATTCTGGGAGTAGCCATTCTAGTAGCACTAACTCAGTCTAGTTTGAGTTTTTGCACACTTGCAGAGTACTCTTCACAATGGCTCAAAAACCTCAGCACCTGCTAGACAGTGCCCTTCTTTAGAGGTCTAGGACCAGCCCACCAGGACTCCTATGGGCTCAGATACAAAAGCACCAGCACCAGCTGAGCAGAATCTCCTACTCATAGTTGCAAGTCCCTTTCTTTGCACTACATTTTAATAATCCCAACCTTTTCTCTTTGTCCCTCCAGTCCTAGATATACTTGCTGCCTCTTACATATGCTATCTCAAACTAGTGTGTTCTTTTTGCCTTTTCTGTTCCTTAATATCTAGCTAGCAAGTTTTACATTCAGTTATCCTCTTAAGCATAACTGGTGTGGTTTCTGTTCTTCTGACTGAGTTTAAACAAAGCAGCCTGGGTTTAACAGAAATAAAGGAGTGTTCTCTCTCTGTAAAGGAGGGTGTTTATCTGCATCTGGAAAGCTCTAGAGAGAAGGAGAAGAGAAAACAATAAAAACAGAATAATCCAGAGGACTCACAATGGGCTGTCTGTTATGGAGGGACAACTGATCTCTCGGCTTATTTCTCAGTCATATAAACATGACATTGCTATATAAGTATCATTATAAGAAACACATGAACCGTGACTGTTAGTTGCCAACAGTTATTCCAACTCATGGTGATCCCAGGTGTGTCAGAGTAGAACTGTGCTCTGCAGAGTTTTCAGTGGCGGATTTTTTTGTGAGTAGGTAGTTATGCCTTTCTTCCTAGTTTGTCTTAGAGTAGAAGCCCTGCTGCAATCTGTCCAGCATCACGGCAACACACAAACCTCCACTGATGGAAGAGTGGTGGCTGCACTTCAGGCACACTGGCCAGGAAAAGAACCTGGGTCTCCCACGTGAGAATTCTGTCATTGAATCACTACTGCATTCCTTCACTGTTAGCAGCTACTTTTAAATGTTACTAGCAGCTAACTGTAAGGAAGCACTTATAATATGCATGATGCTGATCACTGTACATATGGCACCTCATTTAACCCTCAGAACAATCTTATGAGGTAGAAATTATTTTCACGATAACTTTTCAATGAGTGTACAGTGTTTGCAATATTAACTTGTCCAAATTTTACCACTAGTAAAATGAGGAAATATTAACCATAAATGTAGCTGGAGTGTCAGTTAAGAGGAATTACTATGGACAAAGCTGTTAGCAGTGACCCTGGAAGCTATACATCTTGTCCAGCCTGTCCATTTTGTTTTCTTTCTATAGGATTCTATGTTCACAGGGAATTCTTGAGTATATCCACTAGTGGCAGATGCTTATGTCTTTTTTGCCAAGTGCCAAAAATGGGGAATAAACTCGTGAGAGTGCAGATTGCTCAGACAGCCTGTCAGCAACACAACTGTACTGATCTATTGCACACGTATAAGCCACAAAGATTTTATGTGAGATAAACTCTTTTGAAAATTGTTCACAGTCAGATTATTTTGTATAGTAGAGTCTCTAAAACTTCAGGTGCTGTAATGATCTCACTGCTTAAGGCCCTTGCGCTTTTACTTGTAAGATCTATCTATCTATCCATTTATCATCTAGTTGATAGATCTATCTATCTAGATAATCACATTATTGAGGTCTAATTTGTGTACTTGCTTTTTCTCAAAGCATATCTCAGCTTCTTCTTAAAGACAAGAAAATTGAAAACCTTACTTTTTCAAAATTGAGGTCACCAGAACTTAGGTCTCTTGCCTTCTAGCATAAGATTCTACTTTAGATAGAAACTCTTTAAATGTTGAAGGAAGTCATATGATAGAAAACAATGAAGAGAAGAGTAAAATGCTATAACAGATTCATGTTGATAGACTAAGATAAGGTATATTTACTGAAAATTTAATTCATAGCAATCAAAGCAGTGCCCTGCACTATGAAAAACAAAGCTATAGTGGAAAATGTGTTTTCAAATTGTCAAAAATTTAAATTTTCAAATAGTATAAAGATGTCTACATGTTATCTTAGTAGTACATGGGATAACTTTAATGCAACCAGATTTTTACATTGCTTTTCAGAAAAAATGATTATAAGCTATTTAATATTTAAAGCATATGTTATAGAAATTATAAAGATGATTTGAGAAAATCTCATATTTGGTCATGAAGTGATAACTAGTGAAACAGCTTGCTTAATTCTAAGTTTGAACTTAGTGGTATTGAAGATATTGTTGTAGGCCTGATTCCCACGAAGGTAAGGCTGCTTGCTTCCTTTTATTTAATACCATAGACTGGAACTGATACTACTCACTTTCTGTTTTTCATATTCACGCAGTTGGTTACTAACCCTAAATGGATATCTGGGGTTATTATTGAAGTTCTGTCACTAATGAACTGTGTAATCTTGGGACAATCACAACCTCTCTAAATTTAAGGAGATGAATTAAAAGTAGACACTGTATCACTATGTGTGAGGCTTAAGGATAATCCTGAGGATACAACCATAGGCGCGACTGAGTATTTTCCTTGCCCTCATGGAGGAATGAAGGCAAACATGAACCAAACTTTGTCAATGTAGAAAGAAATATAACAATACAAACTTAGAAGTGCTGTGAAGGAATAGTTCTGGGTACTGAAAGAGGGGACCAAAGAAAGCTAATTTAGTCTGAGAGGGGTGTTAGTGCCGAGATCTGAAGGAAAAGACAAGTAGATTGATGGGAGGGAAGTATGGGAAGAGAGAGTAATAGAAAGTCATGAGGGAGGAAAGAGCATGGTGCCATTGTGGAAATGAAAAAGAATTAGTTTGACTGAAGGAGAGAGAATATGATGGTTTAAAGGGATAACAAGATTTCTTCTTATTTTAAAATGTCTATTAAATTTTTCTCCAAGTTGGCATTTTATACTTTGAGATATTGTCTTTAAATAATAATTATAATGAAAAGCTGAAAAGGCATTTACCTCAAATTTCTTTTTTGGTCTATGATCTATATATCTATAGTCAGTCCTTGTTTTGAATGGCTCTGATGTGAATGAATTTCAATTACCACTGTTTAGTTAAATGATACCAGCCCCAGAACATAGACCAAGTTTATTTTACAACAATATATTAATGATAGGTAATTTTATAAAGTCCAGACTTTGTTGCTAGCTCTTCAGCCCACAAATCATTTTGTAAATAACTGATCAGCATCATGATCAATGGCCAATTACATCAGTTCTTTCAGGATGTAAGTCATTGGTTGATGCACATTTGTTATTCATTTCACACACAGGCAACAAAGCATATGGTTACTTCTTTGTCTCCCAGTGATAAACCAAGTACTATTTTATAAAAATGGATAACTGAAAGAAAGAATTGGTCAAAGAAGATGGAATTCCAGCAAAGAATCCAGTAGTGATAATGCTGGAAGTGAAATTAAAATAAAATGTCAATGGAAGTATGGAAGAAATAGCTGACAATAGATCTTCCATTGGAAAGACCCTAGATGTATAGCCAGAGGAATTTAGTGAAGGATAACTCATCTAAATAAATTAGGGAAGTGGTTGTGTTAAAAAAGATGGATATGTCCTAGAGAAAGTGATGATGGCAAAACATTCACACATTGAAGGAACTCTCATATACACATATATCATGACACAGATAAAATATGGAAACAGATCTAAACTTAGAAAGGGTTATGACAATTCACCAAGACATAGAAAAAATGCTCACTCCATATCATGAATTATGTGACAAAAAGAAGGCAAGCACTATTCACATACTTTTGATATATCCTTAACAAAGAATGAAAATGTTAAACACATTAATTCTTAATATATTTACTGTTTAAATTATAATGTACTAGATTATGATTTTTATTTTATATTTCCCTATACATTTATAACTGACAGTAAGAGAGTTCTTAATATTTGACAAAAAAATTAAAGGGCATAGAATGATCATATTTTTTTTCATTAAAGATTATTTGCATAGTTTCAACTTGCATCATCACTTTAATGATCTGGTACTACTGAACAAAGTGAAGACTGCCTGTTAATCTACTGAATCTACCCAATATAACATTTTCAAAGTGCTGTATGAAAACCAGTGTACTTTAGAAGGTGGGGTCATTTTCTGAATTTACAAATTTCTCATTTTGAATAATTCTAGGAGAAGAACTGACCAATAAAATAATATTAGTAAATTAAATATTTAGAATATTATTTAAAATTATAAACTAAACTTTAAGATTAAGCACCTTCAAAATCCAAAAAGTTCAAAATCTATATACATCATATTCCTAGGCACTATGTGACCAAGGCTTCCACTATATTTTAGTAAGCATAATGAAAATAAAAAAAAAAAACTATGTCTATATTTTATTAGGATTCAGTATTTTCTTTTATTTTAACTTAAAAAATATTATTTAAACCCAACATTCAAGTATATCTGTGAATGGAATGCACAAAATAGTCAAAAAGAGACAATTCAATTCAAAGGAGGGAAAGGATGAAAGCTTCACATACCGATTGTAGAAATCATCTCTGTAGTAATCATAGTCAAAGACATAACCACTAAGGAGGGAAACAAAAAATCAGTTGTCATTCATTTTAACCACATTAATTTTGGCATTAACTTATGATGTTATAGCATTAGATTTACTTTACTTTTTAAGATTAGTTTTTAAATATAATTTATATTTGTATCCAAAGGGCTTTAGGTAATGTTCAATTTGATAGAATGTCATATCAAACTATTGTTATATATTGACAATGTAGAGACTGATAATGGCTGTGTGGTTAGGAATGAAAGATGACAGCAGGTAGCTGTCCCACCCACCTGGCAAGTGGCAGAAAGTGTCTTGTGCCCTGATTGCCTCTCCCATCACCCTTGCCCATCACCCAACCTACTCAGCAAGTGTCAGCATTCTCACATCCCTGGTGGACTGCCACATGCTCCTCCCACTGCTCTGCCCCCCTGGTAAGTGGTATAAAGCTCTCAGACCTATTACCTGGCATATTCCCAGCTGCCACCCTGTCCTCCCAGTGAGTGTCAAAGAGTACTCTTGGGTCCTCAGTTGCCTGCTACAAGTCCCTGCCTGCCATCCTGCCCACCTGGCAGGTGGCAGTGAGTGGTCCCATGACCTCAGTCACCTGCCACATCCCTTTACCTGCCACCCCACTCATTAGGTGAGCAGCAGTGAGTACACCCATCCTGCTGGTTGCTTACTACAGCCATGCTGTCTTCCACCATAACTACCCAGTGAGTGCTAGTATGTGCTCCTACACCACTGGACTGATGACAGGTGAGAGTCCATGTCTGCCCAACCTACACTAAGCTGACACTAATGCCCAGTGAACAGCAATGTACACTCACTCTGCCCAGCACTGTCCTGCCCACTCAGTAACAGGTGATGAACAGTCCCATGCCACCATACCAGTAATCAGCAACACATGCCCACCCTTCCCACACTGAAATATCAAAACAAAACAAAATAAAAAAATCAGAAGAAATAAACATAAAATCAACAAATACATACATACATAAATAAAAGAACACCTTAATGCCTCAGAGATAGCAAACGATAACAAATCACATGAAAAATAGGGTAAGGAGGCTTAAACAAGTGAGTGAAATAAAGGGACAGAAAACTTTCCAGAGGAAGAAGCAATAATAGAACTACCTGAGAAAGAATTCAAAAGAGTTACATTTAAAGTCTTTAAAGAGATCAAAGAAAACACAGAGAAATTGCTAGAATAATTCAGGAAAACAATACAAGGACAAAATGACCTACTCAATTGACAATTAGAAGCCATACAAAAACTAGAAATACAACTAAAAATTTAGAGGATTAATAATAACATATCAGAAATAGATATATCATGGGACAGATATGGAAGTAGAATTGAATCAACAGAAGAAAGAATAAGCAAAATAGAGGACACATCCCATGACACTACTTTGAGTAATAATCAGAAAAAAGAAAGAAGAAAAATGAAGAAAGCCTAAGAGTTATGTGGGACACCACAAAGAGGAATAATTTACACATAATAGGAATTTCAGAAGAGGAAGAAAAAAAGAGAAGTATGGAGAATTTTTGTGAATATATATTGGATGAAAACTTCCCCAAAATGTCATGAAAGATGAGAAAGGTACCATCCAAGAAGCTCAATGAACATCATACAAGTTAGACCAAACCAAACTCACTGTCTTCAAGTCAATTTCAACTCTTAGCAATCCCCATTGGGTTTCCAAAATTATAAATCTTTATGGATATAGACTGCCCCATTTTCCTTCCCCAGAGTGGCTGGTGGGTTTGAACTGCCAACCTTTTGGTTAGCAGTCAAATGCCTTAGGTACTACATCACCAGACATAGGACTTACCCCCCAAAAAACACCAAGACATTGTAATCAAACTTTCCAAAACTAAAGACAAAGAAAGAGTTCTTGAAACTGCTCATGAAATACAAAATGTTACTTACAAAAGGGCATCTGCAGTGAATTGCTTGATATGGCCCTTCTAGCCATTGTCCTCCATTCTGTGGTGTTTTGTAAATCCCATTATCCATGCCTGTTTGGGGTGGTGTGGTAGTTAAGGTCAGGAATCAACTTGGCTGGACAGCTGGTAGTAGTCGTTCCCTATAATGACTGGCAATCGACTCTGTGTTGGGATTTAGGTTAATTCTGTTGGGACAACACAAGTGGAATGTATCTTGAGTCCTGCCTTGCTGGAGGGTATAATTAGAATCGCCACCCTTAGCTTCCCTGAGGGTTTTACCTATGAATCTCCTGGGAAGATTCACTCGCCTCTTGCTCCGGCTTTGATCCTTGGCTCATCGTCATCTCACCCCTGGATTTGGGATAGCAGCTGCCGCTGTCTGAGCTGCTGATCAAGGTTCATCTAACCCTGAGAGTTGGGAAAATCCGCCAGACCTACTCACGAACCTGGGACTCGCCAGCCTGCCAGCCTCCACCACTACTACGTGAAACGAACCCTTGGGTGTCTGTGAGTTCTGTGAGGCGTTACAGAGAAATTCAGAACCCTAAGACTGGGGAAATTACTGGGAGGAGGAGGAAGGGTTAATGTCTGAGATGATGGAGTAGCATAGTAGTTTGGACATTTGGAATATCTTTGACCTCCGCCTCATGGGGACCAACCTCATGCTGATCTTTCTAAGAAACATTGTTCAAGCAGCATCAATATGACTAAGTGTTGAATTCTCATCAGAAACCATGCTGTCAAGGACATGGAGGGATGACATGTACAAAATTCTGTTGGAAAAGAATTGTCAACCAAGAATCACATATCAGCAAAATTGTCCCTCAAAAACAATGGTGAAACTAAGACATTCCCAGATAAGCATAAACTAAGGAAATTTGCGATGAACAAGACTAGCCTTACAAAGAACATAAAAGAGAATCTTTCAGATAGAGAACAAATGGCATCAGACAACAACCTGAGATAAAGATACATGAGATCACCCATAAAGCCCAGGTAAACACTTCACAAAAACAAAATAAAGCTAAAAAACTGACTACATGGAATCAGAGGAATTAAGTTGTAAATGATGACAACTTCAAAATGAAAAAGGGGGAATAAAAGATGCAAGTATAGAACTTCTATATGGAGAGGAAGTCAAGGATATTTCAAGATGTAACAGACTGTTTTAATTTTAAGGGGATTACTTCAAGGTTGAGCTCTGGTAGCATAGTGCCTAAGGCACTTGACTGCTAACCAGAAGGCTGGTGATTCAAACCCACCAGCCACTCCTCGGAAGGAAGGTTGGGCAATCTACTTCCATAGTGATACTGCCTCGGAAACCCAAAGAGGGGTTGGTATGAGTCAGATCTGACTCGATGGCACATAACAACAGCAACAACAACAAACTTCAAGGTAACCACAAAGAATAGTAATAAATCTACTCACCAAAAAATAAAGAAAAAGAACACCAAAAAGACCAAGTAAATACAAAAACAATGATTGATAGGAAAAGAAATATATATATACAAAAAGAACACAGCATAGAAAATTAAGAGGAAGAAAGAAACATAACACTACAAAAATAGTATAGCGAAATGACAGCAAAGAATCCATATGTGTCATTAATCACACTGAACACAAATGAATTAAAATGCACCAGCCAAGAACAGAGAGTTGAAGAATGAGTTTTATAAAATGAGTCATCGGGGAGTTCCGGCAAGATGGCGGACTAGGTAGAAGGACTGCACAGACACTCTTCAACAAAGAAAAGGGAAACCAATTAACACAGACACAGAAGATAATCTTGGACCCCTGAGCCTTGAAGGGAAGGATACAAAAGTGGACTAAACCTCAAGTAGCAGAAGAATTTACGTGAAAATACCAAAAAAGGAGACACATGGAGCTTCAGTCTGGCAGCGGCCTGAGCGATCCTGACAGCACAGATGACAGGGCTTGGAGATTCCCGAGTGGTGGTAGGACCTAAGAATTAACCCAAAAATCACCCTGCTAGCCAGGGACAACACGGAAGACTGTGCATGCTGGCTGGGGAACAAACGGAGAAGGTGAAGAGAAAGGTGGGCTGAGCTGTGGACTTTTGTCCATCTGGAGGGCACTGGCATTTTGTAGGTTTAATAAGCGAATTGACTATTTTGGATATTTAAAGAGACAGTGCTCTTGCAGATTCCTGTGGTGGTTTGTTGTTGTTGTTGTTTGCCGTCATGGTAGGACTTAAGAATTAACCTAAAAATCACCCTGCTAGCCAGGAACTGCACGGAGGACTGTGCACGGTGGCTGGGGAACAAACAGAGAAGGTGAAGAGAAAGGTAGGCTGAACCGTGGACTTTTACCCGTCTGGAAGGCACCGCCATTTTGAAGGTTTAAAAAGCTTGACTATTTTGGATATTCAAAGAGACAGTGCTCTCACAGATTTCTGGGGCTTAACACATTCTGCTTTCCAGCAACCCGAAGGACACTCGGGGCCTGCAAGACTGAAAGGGTACAACATTCTTCTTGTTACTACACCCTACACCTGCTTGGTGAACGGAGGTGTGGCCATCCCCACTCCCACATAGCTTCTGGGCCCACAGGAACTCCATCACAGTCTGTGTGCTCAGACAGAGCCTGGGTGCCTTACCCAATCCTCCACCGATTTTTTCTTTCTTTCTTTTTCTTTTTTGCTTTCTTTTTCCCGGTGATTAGTTTGCTTGTATTTGTCAATTTCAAACCAACTAATATTATTAATACTTTTGTATTTTTATTATTCTTCTTAATCTTCCCCTACCAGGTCCTAGTTTTCAGCATTATTTTTTCTTTTCCCTGTGCCTGGTTGAAATTCTGCACACACACCCCCCAATTTAACGTTTCTTTTTTTTTTTTTTTCCCCCCCCCTTTTTTTTCTTGTGACTAACCCCATTCCTTGTTTTTCTTTTTGCACTTTTCCTATTTTTTCTTCATTTATTATTCTCCTTCCCTACTTTTTTTTTTCTTCTTAGTGCTCTATCCCCAGATATTGCAGGTTTGCTTGCTTTCTCATCTTTTTTTCCCTTTTCTCTTTTTTTTGGTTACTGTTCCTGTGTGATTATATGGGGTGTT